GGGGTTGGTGAGTCATCCTAAAGAGGAATGGATTACATGTTCTTCTAGATCAGTGTTTCTCACCCTGCGCCATTGGAAGTTTGGTGCTCTCCACCCCCCAGAATGTCCCAGCCAGCCTGGGAGTTGAAGTCCACACATCTTCAAGTGGCCACGGTTGAGAAACACTGTTCTAGATCTTTACTCTTTGGCTGGGTTTACAGATGTTACTAAGACACAGTTTTGTTAAACCTTGTTTAGGGAACAAGTGTAAGTAGTTGTGTTTACATATAAGTTAAAAAACTTCAGGGGCTGGATTCACTGGCTGGTTTTGGCCAGTTTCACCCCAAACCAAACAGTCTTCATTAGGTGTCTTGGCATGGGAACTCAACCATAGTGTGAGATCCATAAATGTTTTGGGATCATTACATTGTTTGACTTTAAGGTGGGGGTGGGGTTGCTCCAAAATGAATGAGAAATCTCAAACTAAAATGAATGAGAAATCTCTTTCTTCCAGCTCAAGCTTCAGAGCTGAACCTCTGGACACATGTTGACCCTTTCACCTTGCCATTGCCCAAAAGATAAATCTATCTGGTGCATTTGTTCTATTGCTAGAAAAGAGATATTTGCTCATTCCTGTTCTATATGTGAGGATCTGAAACGGAGAGCAGTGAGTGGTCTTTGGTCTCCTTCAGACAGCAGATGTCCTTGTTTTTTTAATAATCAAGCTGCTTATTGTCAGCAGCCAAGAGACACCAATGTGGAAACCAAATAGGCAGCCATACGATTTAAGCAAATAAATGGATGTTTCGGGCAGATACAGATGATAGCTTTCTTTCCCAAACTGTAGCTTTATATCAGATAGATTCTGGATGAAAATATTGGCTAGCATGCTGTTCTGGAATGCTTTAGGGTCTAGACTTCTCTGTCTTTTTTCATGACCTCGCTTTGTGGTGGCCTCCAAAAAGAATGTCTTGGTTGCACCTTGGATGAGAATCTGACATTTTCCAGTCCCTAATGGGATCAAGGCTAGATTTACTTTTCTTTGTATTGTCCAAGCTCACCAGTTAAGAAGACACAGATTTTCTAGCTATGGGCCCTGAGGTCTGGCTGCTCCTAGGTGTACCTAGGAATGTCCTTAATTTGACTTTGTTTTCTTCATTCCACTTTTTGGCTATTTTGCTATCTCATTGGCAACTTTTTCATTTAAAAGTTGATCACCCCATGTCCCTTTAATGTCCCTCTTTAGCTTCTCATATTCTGTATTAAGATGATTTATTTTGTTAACTAAGGTTTGTATACAGTGTACAGTCCATAGAACTGAAGGGATAACATGTTTGGTTGGGATATCCCTGTGTAGTAATATAATTCAAAAAGAAACTTTAGATCTATTTATTATCTGGAAGGCTGCCGGATTCCCAAATGATTTTGCAGGGCTCACATAGTTAAAAAGAGAAAAAGACAATTAGAAAAGAATATGCATTCCTGGAAGAAAGTCACATGCTGCAACAGAAAACTGCCAAGGACTCATCAAACCATCTAGCCCCAGGCTTGACAGCAAAGCAACGTTTTCAAAGACTTATGGAATCCTTACAGGGTGTAGATCTTGCAGATACAGGGAGTCCCCAGTTTAAGAAGGAGTTCCATTCCCAAGGTCTGTCCTTAAGTCAAATTTGTATGTAAGCCAGAACAGTATTATTATATAATACCATATAAGTACTCTTGTGTAATGAACTTGAACCATTGTGTATTTAACTCAAATCATTGTGTTTAAGAAGGAGTTCCATTCCCAAGGTCTGTCCTTAAGTCAAATTTGTATGTAAGCCAGAACAGTATTATTATATAATACCATATAAGTACTCTTGTGTAATGAACTTGAACCATTGTGTATTTAACTCAAATCATTGTGTTTAAGAAGGAGTTCCATTCCCAAGGTCTGTCCTTAAGTCAAATTTGTATGTAAGCCAGAACAGTATTATTATATAATACCATATAAGTACTCTTGTGTAATGAACTTGAACCATTGTGTATTTAACTCAAATCATTGTGTATTTAACTCAATTTTTGCTACAATAGGCTCCGTTCTTAACTATAGGTTGTCTGTAACCCCGGCATTCTTAACCCGGGGACTACCTGTATCATCAAAATGACTTTAAATTCTAGAACTGGTAATGTGGTTCCTCCTACCCAATTTATTTGCTTTATGGCAAGAAGAACATAACAATTCCCGAATCAATTTTATTGGCAAATGATCAGAAAAGTCATGGGCAGTGAGATGGCTTTGCAGTTGGCCACTCTGGATACAGATAGTGTTAAATCAAAATTTGTCTTAAATCCAGAATGTTTCAGTTCAATAATTAAAATGGAAAGAATATTATTTAGATGCCATTTTCATAATTTGGGAATCATTGCAATTCTTTAGGGTAAGTATGTATGTATGAGTTTTTATTGTATATTACTGTACTTTCCTTGTTAAATAAAGCATAGGTAACTGGCTTTGATTGTGTCTCCTGTATTCCACTTACAATTGGTTGATTGTAGCAGTCATGGAAGGGAAAACAAAGGAAGAGATGGGATAGGAAAGAGGAAAGGAAGGAAGGAAGGAAGGAAGGAAGGAAGGAAGGAAGGAAGGAAAGGAAGGAAGGAAGGAAGG